CTTAAGCCTCTCTTAGGGATATAAAACAAGTTTAAGAAGTTCTTCGCATTGGTCCCACAAGATAAAACTTCACCCATTCCACTGTATCAAAGTGCAAGTGCACTTTGCCTCCCCCTGTGAGTTGCTCCAAATTCTATTTTTGGAATCGTGCATCCTTTTAGGTTGCCTTGCATTTTGTCCCTGACTCGGTGTTGAACTAACGAAGCCAACCTTCAGCTGTTCACCCACTGGAAGTGAACCCAAATAGAACCTTTCGGCCTTGTTTCTCCGTACGTGCCAGTGAACAATGGCATGCAACGTGTATGATGCCAGGAAATGTGATCTAATAATAATGTTATTACTTCTCTGTGGCGCTGACTAGTTAAAGTGTGAGATTTATTCTGTGGATTAGCATTGCGCTTTAATATTCATTGTATATTTCGCACGATTATCACATTCAGGGGGCACAACCCACAAAATCTGCCTGCATCCGCATCCGCAGCTCTATCTGTATCTGTATCTTTAGCTGGGCAAACAGCGATTTCGAGATTGTGATTGAGATGGAGTTGGCTAAGACTACGTCACAATGCGTCACATTTGGGCATTATCTGGATCTTTATCTGGATACCTCTCTGCAGTCGTAAAAGGCTTATCGGTTGCTGCTACCGGACTTTGATGCCGCACGAGGAGGCACAAAAACATCATCACATCTCATCCCAAAACACTTGACTTAATCACAGTATTAAGTCACCTGAAATTGACTCATTTTATTTGGCATTTAGCGGTTTAGCGGAGTCTGAGGCGTTAAATTAGCCAGCTCGAAAGTTTGTTTATCGGCGTGTGGCGTCGGAAGTTGTTAATCACTTTAACACAACTTTTGCACACCTTTGCATGGGTTAATGATATATATAATTTTGTATATATTGATTCTCTGTCTAATTTTTACAAATGACTCATGGGCATTGAAATGCGCATTTATCCGCTGGCCAATTAAATGCAGTTTTCCACATTTAATTGGGTGACCCATTTTTCTCCGCCCATTCCCAGTCTAAATTTGTACTTTTATCGGGCAAATATTTGCTAAAAATTTAGCACAGTCAGCTAATAAAAGCAGGCCAGCTAAAACATGGGCTTAGCACGCCTTTCAAATTTATAATTCACCAAGCGGATAAACATGATGTTCAGCGCTTTTGTTTTTTGCGAAGTGAATTTTTAAACAGTCGGCCAAGGCGACTTTGGAGCAGCTTCTGGTCATGACAGTGGGACAGCGGGACAGCTGGACAGTGACTGCTGTCATTATATGCTTATATGGCCTGGAATCGCGTGACGCCACATAATAATCGATCGAACTACTTACCCCTCCCCCAGAGCAACCCAATCAAAGGGGACTCCACATAATCGACGCGTCAATAGTTATATGCGTAGTACTTGAAAAGTCAGAGGCCACAGAGTCACCAAAATGAAAGGTATCTTAAATAGAACTAGCCATGCGTTTATCAACATTTCATTCGATCTTAGGTGAAGCTGTTTACTTGGGAGAATCAAATTCCCTGGAAAAATCAAGGCGCAGTAAATATTTACTACGTGCTTAGATAAATATGTATTTTCCTAATCTCCTTGGAAAATGTGAAATGCTTCTTGTAACTTATAACAAAGAAAAAAGAATTCGAATCAGATAAGTCAGTGAGAAATCTCATAAGCTCACATTGAAAAGTTTCATAATAATACTATATAATAGAAAGCTATCTAAAGATTAAAAAGATTAAGTTAAGCTATTTACTTTTATTTAAAAGAAAGGCTAAAAGCTAGAAACAAGTCAGCATTAAAGCCCAACGTCATACGATCCACACGGGACTAACCTCTGATTTATTTATCTTCCAGATACGAACGCCTTCTGCGTCGCGCCCAAGTGGAGGACTTGACGGAGGTCTCGGGCATCGGTTGTCTTTACCAGAGCGGCGTGGACCGCCTGGGTCGACCTGTGATTGTTTTCTGCGGCAAATGGTTCCCCGCCCAGAACATTGACCTGGAGAAGGTAATACTTAAAAGAGCACCCTTATAAAAAACTTAACTAACATTTCTTGCTCTCCAGGCCTTGCTATATCTGATTAAGCTACTGGATCCCATCGTTAAAGGAGACTACGTCATCTCGTACTTCCACACGCTGACATCCACAAATAACTATCCATCGCTACACTGGCTCCGTGAGGTCTACGGTGTGTTGCCTTACAAGTAAGATCTTCGTCTTAGACCTTTCCAAAAGGATATCTCGCTAACCCTTAGTTGCCCCTTTTAGGTACAAGAAGAACCTGAAGGCCTTCTACATAGTTCACCCCACTTTTTGGACTAAGATGATGACCTGGTGGTTCACCACGTTCATGGCGCCAGCCATCAAGGCCAAAGTGCATTCTCTGCCGGGTGTGGAGCACCTGTACTCGGCCATCACAAAGGATCAGTTGGAAATTCCCGCCTACATCACCGAGTACGACATGGCGGTAAGTCGGATTGATCTTCTTCAGTAATTCTTAAAGATGTATTACATATATTAATTCTCTTTATAGACCAATGGCCTGCATTACTTCAATCCTGTGCCGACTGCCTCGTAGATGGCGGCCATCGTTGCTGTCTAGGACAGCGGGCGGGCAGCCACCATAGCATATACATACATACATATATATAGATACACACATACACACACATAAGAATTGTGAAGTTTTTATAGATTTTATAGAACGTATTTTGTTTTCTTGATAAGTAATATTTGTTTACTTGCGCAAAACTATCGATGTTGTCGTTTATCGATTGACTTGCCGCAAGTTTTGTTGAACATTGTGTAGCATACTTTTATGGGAATGGCCGAATCGCCCGATCGATCCCTCGAAACCAATTAGCTAAAAATGATAAAATGATAAATCGGCAGACCCAAAAACCAGATAATTGTGTAAAACATTCTTATGATGTGCATGGAAATTAGTTAATTAGTTGGCATCGGCAGAACAAAACCTTGTTAATTCGCTATAAATAGAAGTTGAAGTTGAACTATTGGTAGGAGAAGGATTAGGGCGAAAGGAGAAGGACTCGTTAACGAGTTGAGATACCAAAAGAAACCAAAAATCGTTAGCAATGCTGAACAAAATGAAATTTGAATAGAGAACCTGCATATACGGATATACAAGATTATTCTAAATATTATAAATTGATAAACTGTACTTGATTATGGAAGGGAAATAAATCGAGAAAGTTAGAAGGAAAGTATATATGAATAAGTATACATATTGTTAGTTATCTTTGCAATTACAAATTGTATTATTAATGTATTAATACTAGAGCTAAAGCGTATGCCGTTTGATCCCCCGATATATACACACACATACGTACTATAATTCAATTGTATTTATACATAACTATATACTAAATATACACAACTAATAAATTAAAACCAAAAACAAAAAACAAACATGGAGAAGAAGTGCAGCTAGATGCCTGCAGAACCTTTTGTAGATACTTACTAGAGCTCACCGTAAGGCCCTCCCAGCAATCGAAACACCAATAAAGAACCTAACGAATAACAAGTAATGAATACTGAATGTTAAATGTTCAACTTTGATATGAATATGTTTAGGCGCAGGAGATTTCCAACTCGAGACACGTCCCCTTTATCTTCCATGCACCGTTTGCGCTCAAAAATACCAAAAAAAAAAAAAAGTGAAAAGAAAAAAATAAAACCAGAATCAAAGCCAATAGCACGCCACTGCTATACGTATATATTTGTAATTGTGAGATATATAGGTATTGTAATTAGTCGAATCAATTATGGCACTCGCTGGCAGTAATCAGAGATCAGAATTCAGAACCACACTCAAGCCACTGCGCCGCACCACCAGTTGAAGAGCCAAAAGACCGCCACAGCCAACACCAGCAGTTGATTTAGCAACTACGCAATTACATGCAAAGTAAAATGCACTCAGGGATTGATTTAAAACAAAAACCAAAAACCAAAAATCCAAAACAAAAACCAAAATGAATTTTAGATAAATAACATATGCGCTTTCCTCGAACCACAATCGGCAGCCTGGCTAGTACCTAAAATGAGAAATCAAGTAGAGTTATAGCGAAACACCAAAGTGAGATAGTTTTTGGACATGTTCTTATAAGTACCTAAACAAGTACGAGTATCTGAGTATGTCGTAGGCAGTTCATCGGACAATTATATGCCAATTACATATTTTGTATTGCCTCACCAGCAGAATTTAGGAAAATTAATCAGAGTGCTATGGGGATGCTAAGTTTCCAGCTCTAACAATAATCAGAATCACGGCAATTACTTAAACTAGTCTACTCAAAAGTTATGCTTGTATGAGAACCACCTTACAGGAGTACAACAATCGGGTTAGCATCATATATATATATATTATATACTATATATGGTTGAACCATCCTATGGCTTACTCAACTGTTATTGAAAATTAAAGAAAATACACAAGTAATATTACAAAACCGAATCCCAAATCGAGAATCCAAGTTATGCCAAGTGTTCCTTTCTAAAAAGTATATATTTAGACGAATACTTTTCGTAATATTTGAATATTTGTAGGTAAATCTTAAAGCCAACTACAAGTAACTAGTAATCTCTTTGAATCTTAATATTTCCCCGAATTTTCCCTTCTAATATTGCTATTGCTTTAGCGTTAAAAATTCAAACAAAACAAAACAAAACACAAACAAAAACCAAAAAGCTAATAAAAATTTGATGAAAACCGATTTGTTGCTAAATTAATGAAATTGTACCTTTGAAAGGAATTCTGCGATCGATTCTTTTCTAGCGTAGCACAAAATCCTTATAGTTGTTAAAACCGAAGCGAGATAAAGAATGATCGTCGTGGCACAAAATCCGAAACTAAGTTAAGTTTTTCCAAAAATTCGAGAATCCAGCTCCTTGTTCTTTTTGTATATATAAGTACATACAAGGTAACAAATTTAATTGGTAATTAATAAAAGAAAAAAGAAAACAAAACATTAGCTGGTTTTAAAGGTTATCTATTGACTGCTTTGCTTTTAGAAAAGATTCTTAAATTCTATTTAAAATCACATGGTCTTGAGGTTCATCTTCCTCAGTTACTGTATAATCAGCTTCTCCTGCTTGGAGTCGGGAATGTACTCCTCTTTGTACTGTTCGAACATCTTCTCCAGGGCCTCCATCACCTGACCATGTATCTTGTCCACATAGTCGGCATCGGGATTATCGCTCTTCACAACATCGATGGGGGAACCAACTGGAATTGTGAGGGTATTAATGAATCAAAGACTTAAGGACAAAGACCGTTAATGACTCACCAACTTGCACAATTCGTCGACGATAGGGAACTATCCCATAGTTGTAGTTGAAGATGCCTCGACCCTTGGGAAGGAGCGGCGAAATGCCTGTGAACTTCTTAACAAAATCTTGGAATCGACGAAGCTTGGACTCTGGAGGGTTGGCCACCTGATCAAAGATATCCACCTCTCCAAACGAAAACGAAGGCACAATCGATGAACTTTAATCAGAAGGATATTGATGAAGAATTTATAATATTATTAAGCTCATTGCTTACCCCGTTCGAATGGCCATTTTGACAAAACCCTTTCGGTTCCTTAGAGTCAAAATGTACTGCCCAGGATGGGAATCCATGGCCTCCCGAGCTCCACCCACCAGCACAGCCACCGCATTGGATGTAAAACCGTCTTGATTATCCTTGTGCTCGGGATCATTGGATTTAGTCAGTAAATGAGTCAGAGATTCCTTAGAAACCGACACCATTCCCCACCAACGTAACAAGTCCTGTAAGAAAGGTGTCCTGAAATGTTGATCCAAGGTGGCAATCTTAGGCCTAATTTGGGGAAAGAGTTCCAGCCAATTCCTAATGTCCAAGCTCATGTTAATACAAGTTCCAGTGCTTTTAAAGAATGGAAGACATGATAAGATATAACAAGCTGGGGATCTATAAACTCGCTTACCCAAGAATTCCGTGTGGAAAGCTAGCCACAATATAATTTTTGTTAGCCGGTAATTCAGCTGTTTTTACGAGTTCAACGGGGAAATAGTCTCGATATCTTCGATTGCTGCGATAGAATAACCAACTAGGGAAAATTGATTGTGTCATTATCTTTTCAGTTAATGACCTATTTTGATTTTCAACACTTACCCATTTCCCTCCATAAGGCCGTAATTTAGCTTGTAATCCAAAAAGACTTTTACAAAATAGATAACAAGCAGACTGCGCAGAAGAAATCCGCCATTATACTAATGGAAAGAAACAAAAAGTTTTAGGTATAGATATGTATGAATATTTAATAAAAATACGAACTCATAAAACTCATAGTTTATCAAAAATGCACACACAAATCACTTGCATTTTATGTTTTTAAAAATAGAACTGATATAAAGATTGTTTTATTAAACTCAGCTCTTTTCAGAAAGCGTAAACACTTTAAAGATTTAATTATTAAAATTTTATCTGACTTTTTGTCAGATTTTTTTAATTTATTCAATCTATTTAAGGTCCACATTCATATCTTTATGCCTTCATCATTAAACCACTAAACATTAAACAACTTTTTTATTTTTATTTTTTAACCATTTCAAACTTTGAAATTAATAAAACGCCTAATAAATGTATGGTTTTATCCCTTAGATTAGGACTTTTCATTTAAATTATTTGTTTTTAATAGTAAATTTGTTCGCTTGCTCAAAGTTTTGTGCACATTGAATAGCAATTTGAGTCTTTTGTTATTATTTTAGCAATTTTATTGCTTCCAGATATGCCTTTATTGACATGACGGAACTGTATTTTTAATTCACAAAATAGTTCACTCACTGGAAAATTATATCTTTGATTTTAGATCTATTATTTATTAACTTTTCACAAATCACTTTTTATTTGGGATTTACCAGCAGGATGGCCGCTGTGAGCCAGGATGAAATGGGAAGCGTAAAGAGGGTATAAGTAAAGAAAGCGGTGACCAGGGTCTGGAGCCGCCGTTCAAGTGGAATTTCTAAAGGAACCCATTCGATTTTCATATTGAAATCTACCGATCTTCCAAACAAAGAAGCGACTCTTTCGACAAGTTCCCAGCGACTGAGCGATCGCTTAGCGGCGTCAAACAATTTCCAGGGTGTAACAGAGTGTACTTATCCTTATCAACGCAACGACTCGCCTCTTCGGACGACCCATAAGAGCCGCTAACAGTTTGAGAACCACACTTCAGTGATAAGTCATTGATAATAGCTTAAGCCCAGACACTACAGATTACATTACGCGTGCATATGCTCTGATAATTATCCCATTTAAATCAGATTTATAACCCCAAATTATAGTCAAATCAGTCAGATAAGGAAAAGTTATTAGTTCCTTAAGTGGCTGTAAATTCGATCGTAATCAACGATCTTTGCGGGTTCTCTCTAATCGAAGAGTTCTGAATCATATCTTGGCATGCCGGTGTTATTCCAATGTTTATATGGGCAAGCCGGCAACAGTCATTACTATCACGACCAATTCTTGACCTTTACTCGTGGAACTTTATGTTTGTGTCACATGAATTGGCAGTGCTTCGCAACAGTCAAAATATTCATTGGATTATGCGTGCCACAGTAGTGAGTTCTTCGATAAGGGGTCTAGCCTGATTTTTTCGTTTATTTTCTACTACAGATCTGTGTCGACCTTATCAAGCGAGTGTCTCATTCACACAAGTGCTGATTCATGCAGTCGATGTTACATTTCAATGAACTGGTAATTATATGGTAATTCTTATAAGCGGGCACTTTTATTTAGTCAATGAGAACTATTACATAAAATGCTTCAGGAATGGCATAAAAACAGTTTGAATTAAAAGTCAAAAATGTGAAATTCGCTTCTCAGCTTAAAAGAACTTATAGACCGGATTTTTTTAATACATTATATTGCTTTATTAAAAACGTTTTTATTTACCTAGGCTGCAGTTGGAAATCAAAGGAAACGACAACTATTTTAAAACTCTAACAGTAATACTACTGTCACATAATAATCTCTGGTAACTAAGGTTTCTAAACCTTTAAAGGTTTAATGTACAACCAGTTTGGCCATCTTAGAGTTCTGCAAATATTTGTCTTTATGCTCTTCGAATAATTTTTCCAGGGCCTCAATGACCTGTCCATGCACTTTGTCCACATACTCAGAGTCCGGCTGATCGCTCTTCACAACATCAATGGGAGAACCAACTGGAATATGCAAAATTGAATAAAAATATCTGTAAAGATAAATGAAAATTTCACTTACCAACTTGGACAATGCGTCGGCGAAAAGGCAGGAAGCCAAAGGTGTAGTTGAAGAAACCTCGACCCACAGGGATTAGCGGGGAAACACCGGTGAGTTTCTTTACAAGATTCTGGAATCGACGGAGAAGGGAATCCGGAGGATTGGCCACCTGGTCGAATATGTCCACCTCGCCAAATGAAAATGACGGAACAATCGATGACCTGTAAGCAGAGGGATTTAGAAATGGATTTGTTAATCAAGCAACTTGTTACTCACCCCGTTTTAATGGCCAATTTGACGAAACCCTTCCTATTCTTCAGGGTTAAAATATACTGCCCAGGGTGCGAATCCATAGCTTCCTGAGCCCCACCCACCAGAATAGCAACTGCATTGGAGGTGAATCCATCCCGATTGTCCTTGTGCTTGGGGTCATTTGATTTGGTAAGCATGTGCAGCAAAGCCTCCTTGGAAACGGACACTAAGCCCCAGCAACGGATGACCTCACGCATGAAGGGAACATGGAAATGCTGATCCAGAGTGCCTACTTTGGGTCGCACTTGAGGGAACAGTTCTAACCACTTTGAGATTTCCACACCCATGTTAATACCAATGCCCGTCCTACAATCCAAATCAGAGTCTATTTATATTTAAACGATTAGATTTGCTATCTGTCAATGTACTTACCCCAGAATTCCGTGAGGAAAGCTGGCCAAGATGTAGTGCTTATTAGCTGGTAATTCGGCGGTTTTCACCAACTCCACGGGAAAGTAATTGCGGTAGTGACGATGAAGGAAGTTACTACGGGTTATCATCCAGCTGAGAAAGGCATATAAAAGGATATTATCTTTAGGCGACTTTTTCATTCATTTTCCACTTACCCATTGTCATCCACCACAGATTGAGTTTTCTTATGATGTACAAAGACGTAGGCCAGGTAAATCACCATTAGGCTACGTAGCCAGATGCCTCCATATATCTATATTCATGTATCAAATAATAACGATCATATTTTAATATAAGTTACTTATTTACTTACCAGTGAACCAGCAACTAATAGAAATGAAACAGATAATAGTATTAACAGCATCAAAGTGAAGAAAGCCGTGACTATGATCTGCAATCGGCGTTCCAGAGGAACCCGGAGTGGTGCCCATTCGATTTTCATGTTAACTCCGTTCCAATAATGTCTGGCAGCTGCTCTTTCGATGGTTCTCCCACGACTGATTGATATGGAATCCAGTGGCGGTCAATTTGCCCAGTAGTAACTTATACTTATCCTTATCGGCTTTCTGGTGGATGGAGGGCACCCGCATTACCGGCTAATCACAAACCTACTAACCAGTGTTTGGTCTGATGGGAATTTGCGATTAGAGTGATAAAGATGATAAATGTTGGCTTACAATCGTCGTCTGGTAATCGAAGTTTCGGGTGCAAAGGTATGCGGCGATTCCCAATTTATTACCCACTTTGAACTTTAAGAGAAAAATTATTAGCAATCAATTAGCACCCTATACTCCGGCTTGTATATCTTGTGACTAACTAAAAAGTTAGTGGAGTGATAAGAAAGGTATTTATATATCAGAGTTAAGTTGAGGTTCGATCGGCTTAAGTATTACACTACACTTGCGCTAGTGTGATGAAATAGTTGTTCCTTATATGCTTGGTCTGTGAAAAAGTCTACTGGGTTCAACATTTGTAGAACAGGTTTTTCCTAGACTATTAAGTCTAATTTTAATTTTATTAATTGTAGACGTTTTATTATTTTCCATCAGTCACATTCTTTATTCCTTTAGTAACCAATTGCTCAATCAATCATTGCATATTATTTGAAACTTAAATTTCCCCGCCAATTGATCGTTGATCAACACTATAAGCTGTCTTATCGATATTCAGAGCTATTAGCAGCTGCTAATCGATATTCGACTATTTAAATTTATGATCACTACCCACAGTTATAAAGAGCTTTTAACAAAGAAAAATTATAATAATCTTAAAGTTAAAGTGTTTATATTAAATGCTTATAAATCACTTCTTTGATCACATATTTAAGACAATAGCTGTTCCGACTAGTGAATAATAAGCTTGCTCTGCTTGGAGTTCGGTATGTACTGATCCTTGTACTGCGCGAACATCTTCTCCAAGTCTTTAATGACCTGTTGATGTATCTTATCCACATATTCTGGGTCAGGCTTATCGCTCTTTATCACATCGATGGGGGTACCAACTAAAATGGTTTTAAAATTAATAAGATAGCGGGAAGTATTGGAAATATTAATAGTATTTCAACTCACCAACTTGAACGATGCGTCGACGATTGGGCAGAAAGCCGTAGGTGTAGTTAAATATACCACGACCTACTGGAATCAGAGGAGAAATACCTGTAATTCTCTTAACAAAATCTTGGTAGCGTCGAACCGGAGAGTTTGGTGGATTGTCAACCTGATCTAAAATGTCCACCTCACCAAAGGAAAACGTGGGTACAATCGATGACCTTTAAGAATAATAATATTGCAAATTACCCTTAACTTTTTAAGATTTTTACTTACCCCGTTCGAATGGCCATTTTCACGAAACCCTTGCGGTTCTTTAGGGTCAAAATGTATTTGCCAGGATGAGAATCTAACGCCTCCTGGGCACCACCCACCAGAATAGCCACAGCATTGGAGGTGAATCCATCCCGATTATCTTTGTGCTTGGGATCGTTCGATTTGGTTAGCAGATAAACCAAAGCCTCCTTGGAAACCGAAACCAGGCCCCAAGACCTCAAAAGACCACGCACAAAGGGCGCTAGAAAGTTCTGATCCAAAGTGGCCACCTTGGGCCTCACTTTCGGGAACAGTTCCAGCCACTTGGAGATGTCTAGACCCATGTTCATGGAAATGCCAGTCCTATCGGGGGTTTCAATATTTACATTAGTGTGTGTACAAAAATTTCGTCACTTGAGTGACCGATTGATAAGATTGGCTATCAGTCAAGGAGCTTACCCCAGTATTCCGTGGGGAAAGCTGGCCAAAATGTAGTTCTTATTTGGGGGCAACTCTGCGGTTTTGACCAGCTGGACGGGATAGTAATCGCGATAGTGCCGAAACAGCCAATTATTGCGACTAAATTTCCAGCTAATAAAGATTATTGTTGTAAGTTTTAATCGTTTTCTAGAATGCAGTTTTAAGCCTACCCATTGCCGTCCATAACGGAGTGGGTTATCCTATGATTCGCATAAATGTAGACCAAGTAAATAATTGTCACGGTGCGCCATACTAGGTTACCATAGATCTAGATAAGAATAGTTTTATTTACTAAGAAATTGATAATATATTTTATTTACCAGCAGGGCAGCCACAAGAATATATGATCCAAAGGAAAGTATCATGAAGGACAGGATGAAGAAGGCCATGGCGAACATCTGACGACGTCGCTCCATGGGAACTTCAATGGGAGCCCACTCGATTTTCATATTTGCAGCTCTCGAGTTTGAAAATTTTTTCCGGATCGAAGAACTTTTAAGTAGCGATACTTTCCGCGGTCCTCCAGCGACTAAAAGTGCCCAATGTGTAGTAACCTTTTCTTATCCTTATCAGTATCCGCCGATGGCGCGAGCTCGCGGTAAGTGTTGTTAAAAAATTTCACCGATTTAATAGCTATTTGCTTGGGGTGTTTAAAAATTCGAACAATCAAGATAGTCAATGGCTTTATATAGATGTCTGGCCGCAATTGCGTTACAGTCCTATCAAAGCCGGCTTTTTGAAATGTCTCTTCCACATACAACACTTTGACCGCCAATATTCATTACATGAACTGAATTTGTATTAACAATTGGCTTACCAATTAAAATAGAATTTAAATGTCGTTATGATTAGAATGAAATTTGTATTAAAATAACTTTTTAATTATACTAAAGGAATTTGGTTTTACAAATGATGTGATTATCCCTTTTGGCAACAAAATGGTTCATTTATGTTATCTTGTTGCTTATAAATAAACACTTATAAATATTACAATTTTACATATATTTTAATATATTTATTTACTTTCCAAGCAGTGCAACCTAGAATGTCCCCTAAAGCTTTGGCACAAATGACGATCTCATAGAAATATATAATTATTTTTGTTTGGAAAAGCGCACGCAGGGTAAATGTTTAAACAAGTAATGCTTCGTTATCGCATTTTGAGAGCAGAACCGACCACGCGAGCGTGCGATATTTGACTAAACAAGCGAGTTTTCATTAAAAAGTCAGAGAGCAATGCACGAGATTCCCATTTGAGTATTACGAGAACTCGAATGCGATGCAACAATTGAGTCACCGACGTAATTGCGGGTTCTATACGATATAAACTGAAACAGAGGTCATGTGCATTTGCAAGTCTGTATTGAGGAATACCTGTTTTTTCAGCTAACAATTTCCATATTCTAGTTAAAACAGAAGCAAGAAAAGCTTTACAAAGTAGGTGAAATTGGCAAACAGTTTAAAATTGTGAATTCAAATAATCGCGCCCAAGGTTGTTTATAGGGATGGAATGTATGTTCTTTGTTATCGGTTTGCTGAAATGAATGCTCTTTTGGCGCAAGAAATAGCGACAATTTGAAGGCTTAGTTTAACTTTTAAGTTTCCTTGGCCTCACAAATGTATCATAACCCTTAAGAATAGATCATAAGAAATAGAATACCAAAACATTTCGGGAATGCCAACCAATTGCCCAATCCTCCTTGGCAATACGATGACGGAGTACCGCTCTGAATTTTGCATTTCAAATGACCCCAAGTCCAATCCTATCCATTCCGATACAATGCATTGAAGAAGTGGAAAACAAATCAAAACAAAATAGCGCAAAATATATTCATCGAGTCCACCGTTCTTCATTATTTCTTCTTCGTTGCTTTCCTCCGACACATTTTGGGCTCAGTTCGCAAAGATAATCCGTGAGCAGCGGTTCGGTTTTGATCTCTGAAACTGGGATCCCAAAAAAACCTTTTGCTATTTTGTGCAGTTTTTTAAGTCTAATTAGAGTAAAAGAAAACCCAACGATTGTATCAAAGAGTATGACAAAAGAAGAATAAACGGAAAACAAGCTTTAAAAAAATATATTTTGAAACTCAATACACACACAGCAGAAACTTAAGAAGTTGAATTGGAAGCAAAACAAAGAAAAATGCTGATTTTCTATGTAAAATACGCATTTTTCTTTTGGTTTTTGGTGGGAAGAAATCAAGGTGAAATGCTGATAATGGACCAGATCTCCCATGACAAGTCGCTGCTAAATGTCACCGCATGCACTCAGAATTGCCTGGAGAAGGGCAAGATGGTATATTGAATTTCCTTTGAATATTTAAATAAATTAGAAGAACCGTCTATCAGTCGTTGATGTAAAAATAAAAATAGAAATATTATACTGATAAAAGCTGTAATTAATCTTGTTTTTGCATGACAGGACTTTCGGGGATGCTTTAAGGACTGCAAGTCCAATGGAAATGCTCCTGGAGCTTTACGCAAGGTGCAGGATAATTTTCAGCTGAATATGCTGTGTAGAACGGAGTCGGAAATAGTTTTCCAAATAGATTGGGTTCAGCACAGCAAGGGAAACGTGTCAGCTCCAAACTCCACTTACATAATCAAGGTGCATGCAATCAATGAGGACATATCACAAACCAAAGTATACCTGGTGAGATAATAATGCTTGGTACTTAATTGTTTAGTAATATGTCGACCTATGTCTGATGTCAAGACAACACATTATGATCTTATATTTCGTAATAATAAGTAATTGAGTAATAAGTAATTTCGTAATTGCCCAGAATTTTGTTGGATCCACTTCTACTTGTATTAAATGCCTTTCCCTATTTTTCTTTGCTTTTAGTCTGATGAAAACTTTCTGGTCTTGCCCGGGCTGGAGTCAAACTCCAGCCACAACATAACGGCTCTGGCGATGCACGGGGATGGCAGCTACTCACTGATAGCCAAGGATCAACCCTTTTCCACCCTAATACGAGGTTACCAACCCAGCAAAATGGGTGCAGTAAAACTGGTGCGATTTGTCCCTCAGATAGATGATCCCTATCACATTGCTGCTGAGATCGAGTGGGAGCCGTCGGCTGGTGAGTTTCCTTATTTATAGGATATACACTTAATCTTACTATTTCCTATTCCAGAAAGCAACTGCTACTTTGACATGGTATCCTATTCAACGAACAGCGTGAACATGGACGAACCACTGGAGGTGCAGTTCCGGGATGTAAGTACAGCAGAGCACCTCTAACATTGTTATTAACATTTTATATACTCCTCCAGCGAAGAAAACTTTACAAGCACACGGTGAGCAACTTGGAGTTTGACAAACATTATCTTGTGGGCGTAAGAACTGTGAACATAATGAACCGTCTGGAGAGCGATTTAAAGTGGCTACAAGTGGAAGCTCCAAGCTGTTTGGATTGGTATCCCTTCAACTATACACTCTGCCGTAGGTATTTTTAATTTTTTGATTAACTTCATTTTATATAAATCCCATTATTAGCTCCCCATAAGCCGGAGAATCTGACTGTCCGGCAAGAACAGTACCTGCCGAATACCTTGTCTCTGAACATCACCTGGTCGCGACCCCCCCAACTGCCGGATAGCTATACACTTAGAATCTTCGATTTAATACAGGGAGGTAAGGAGGTTAACTTTACCCTAGACCAAAACAGAAGCCACTTCTTCGTACCTAGAATCACGGTATTGGGTTCCCATTTTGAAGTGCATTTGGTGGCACAGTCAGCAGGCGGAAAGAATGCCACCGACCTAACCCTGATTAAGATTCCTAGAGTTGTCTGGCTGAGTGGTAAGTAGAAGAATCCTAATTAAATATGTTCTTATCCTCTAACATTAAAGCAAATGCATTCAAATAACTTATTTCGTCTTACTTTCATACAGACGGAAACCTAGTAAAGCTAATACTCTTCATTATTGTGCCCCTTTGCTGCATTGTGATGCTGTGCTCCCTGACCTTCTGCAGACGAAATCGATCGGATACTCAAGCCTCACAAATGGAGGCCAAATATGCCAAGGCCAGTGAATTCCATGTCTCGCTGATGGACAACAGTGGCCTGCTGGTCACCCTGTCGCCGAACGAGAGCCTGGATATAATGGATGAGCTGGAAGTAGAGCCCCATTCGGTGCTACTGCAAGATGTCCTTGGGGAGGGAGCTTTCGGTTTGGTACGTCGCGGTGTTTACAAGAAGCGTCAAGTGGCCGTCAAGTTGTTAAAAGGTACTACTAGTATTGGAGTTTTTATTTAATTTTGAGCTATTTCTGGTTCCACAGATGAACCCAATGAAGAGGATGTGTACGCTTTCAAATGTGAGATCCAAATGCTGAAGGCTGTGGGCAAGCATCCAAATATTGTGGGAATTGTTGGATACTCCACTCGTTTCAGCAACCGGATGATGTTGATAATTGAATACTGCAGTCTGGGAAGTCTGCAGAACTTCTTACGGTTTGTTATTAAAGAAAAATAAAACTATAAAAAACGAATTGATCATTTTATTCCCAAACTTAGTGAGGAGTGGAAGTTACGTCAGGAGCAGAATGCAGTTGGCTTAAAGAAGAACCTTGAGCAGAATGTGGACAACCGAAGATTTTATCGACCCAGACATCATTCCATCCATGACCGCATAGAAGATATCAACATATCGATGCTGTCCACTGTAGAAGAGGAGAGCGAAGCGGACCAGACCCAAACCAGCAGTCGAGTGGAGACCTACACCCTAACCAGAATCACCAACGCAGCAGAAAACAAAGGTTATGGGCTAGAGGACATTGAAAACATCGGTAGTAGTCATGTTACGAAAGTTCAAGATGCAGCAAAGGATAAGAATCAGAAGCTGGGACTGAAGCTCAATGAAGAGTCAAACATAGAAAGCAGGAAAAGAACCTTTGATAACAAGGAATACTTTGATTGCCTGGACTCATCAGATTCCAAGCCCAGAGTTCCATTGAAGTATGCAGATTTATTAGACATTGCTCAACAGGTGGCTGTGGGAATGGTGAGCTAAATCCATTGAATTTTTAAAGTTAAGACGTAAAAGTTTTCTATTATTTTTCAGGAATTTCTGGCCCAAAACAAAGTGGTTCATAGAGACCTAGCTGCCCGCAATGTTCTGATATCTGTTGATCGCAGCATTAAGATTGCAGATTTTGGGTAAGTCAACTCTTAAAGTTTATAGATCGTACACGCTATCTTTCCTTTTTCTAGGCTCAGTCGAGATGTATATCACGAGAATGTATACCGAAAGTCAGGAGGAAGTGGCAAACTGCCTATCAAATGGCTGGCCCTGGAGTCCCTCACCCACCAGGTGTACACCAGCCAGAGCGATGTGTAAGGGATTGTCAGACTTCAATCCAAAGACAACATTTAGCTGATCTCTTACTTTTTCAGATGGTCCTTTGGCGTGCTGCTCTACGAGATAACAACGCTTGGTGGAATGCCATACCCATCGGTATCTCCCAGTGATCTCTTGCAGCTTTTAAGACAAGGCCATCGGATGAAGCGACCAGAGGGATGTACGGATGAAATGTAAGTGAAAAGTTATGATCAAGTTATATACAAGTACTCCCAACACCTGCCCACCTTAGGTTTTCTGTGATGGAAAGTTGCTGGAATTCTGTGCCATCACATAGGCCCACATTTTCTGGACTGAAACAAAGACTAGGAGCCATGATAGCGGCCACCAACGATGTGCCCGAAAGGCTGAAGCAACTGCAGGCTGCAAATGGAACACAAATCGACTCCTGTGAAATTCTTCACAGGTGAAATACATTCTTCTTAAGTTTTATAAAATAACTAGTACAAGTTCCTAAATTTCAGTAATATGGAACAACTACCCCTCGAAGAGGAACCTTACCTTGAGCCCTTAAATTAGTCTCTATTAGTTTTAGTATTTCAAGAACGAGTGCAATACAATATTGTTGGAGAACAAGTTAAACCCTAGAATTGAAGTTTCAATTCAGACAACGCTAGAAAGGCAGATAACTTTACATTGAAATAAACATTAAGAATAAATATAAGAAAACAACTTTGAGATTCGTTTAAAAATGAGTAAGATACATTCTAAGGTTTAAGCAGAATTAGGCTAGTTAGATTGTATAGAAGTTTTACAGATATTCTGGCTGTGCCCTTTTTGTCATCGAATTTAGGAAAACCGCTCCTTAAAACCACTTTTTTGGCAGCGACTTGCCATTTCGACATGTTTGTGCCCACTTGCGGCATGGATATAATCTTCGATAAGATCTGGTTTATTTGGGCATTAACAATCATCATCTTTGAAAATTCCAAATTGAAAGTCGTTTCAAGCAGGCTTGCTTACAGTGTTATCCCATTTCTAACCACCTCTAACGATGTGCATCCACTGTTGCCGCCTCCGACGGACTCCTTGTCCGCCGATTCCCTACAGCTGTCCTCACTGCCCAGTGCGTACCATCTCCAGCTGCTGTCCCCTGGGCACCCGTCCATTCACTGAAAGTCCCTTCGTGAGAGCGCGAAATCGAATGCCACCGTCTGATCCCTGTGATACCTTGCCACCCCGCTGGCTGGAGGTCAACCGTCGGGTTATATATGCCCTGGCTAGTAATTTGGGTCGATCCCCGGAAGCAGCTCATTACATATTGCTACGCCTGCTGTATGCCAACTATGGAAAAGTGATGATGATATCCCGAAAACGAAGAAGTTTCGATGTGCCATTCAGTGGTTTTCCAGATCAGGATCTGTTCTCATCCAGCACGCTGTTCGATTGTAATGGCTACCTCTCTGATCCCATGGCTCCGGAGACTCTAGAAAAGCTGCTTCACATGATGCAGAACTATATCTTCCGTTTAAGGGCTCTTAATCATAAGTACAAGTGGTTCGGAAATGGCGAGGATATGGGAGAAATACAACACCTGTTGGGGAAACAGGATGAGCTGGTGAGACTGTTAAGGAATCTCTTTGGGAACAGCGATGTGGTGTGCATTCCAAATCTCCTAACCGTGCTAAGCGAACTGAATATAAATAATTTATTTGGCAAGTGGAAAAAGAAAAAAGCACCATTGATAGTGAGAAGTATATCCGACCTCTATTCGGAAGTGACGGAACCGAAGAAGCCGATATTGATATTATCAACGGACAGGAAAAAAATGCCTAAAGCAGACTCTGTGACACCAGTACCTATTTCTATCTACAAAACTCCTGAGTCAAGAGATTGGAAATACCAGAGCCTAAGTAAAAACCCAGTTCCAATAGCCACTGCTGAAGCAGATCCCAAAAAATCAAACAGAACATTCTCTGCTATTAACATTGTAAGACCCATCCCAGTGAACTCCATTGCATTAACCGACTTTCCAACTATCAAAACAACATTTATCCCAACAACCCAAACGGATTCAATCCCGACAACCAATGCGAAATCGAATCCAATGAACACAGATTCGATATCAACATTCAAAGCAAACTCCCTCGTAGCATCCAATATTTCTACCTTTCGAAGCACAGCCAATTCCAAAAGACCTAAGGACCCTAATTTACAATTTAAGGTACCGCCGGAATTCTATGAACCCGTTGACTTGAAGAAGGATTCTAATTGGCCTTCTCACCAACAATTGATGTCGGATGACTGGATTGCCAATGACCGAAAGGAGCTGCGGGGACTGGGCAGTTTGCAAAAGATGCTATCCGTGCGAAGCGAGAAGTCTTTCGGCGATGCAGCGTTTGGAGATGTTTTCGGCAATACATCACGAATATCGCGAATGTCATCCACTGTGACCACCAATACCGTCCCTGCCCAACGTAGTAAATCATAGGATCATATGGATTAACCAATGAATATGGCAGTTGAACCAAAGTTTATTTCTTGGAGCAATTGTCCTATACATTGGTATGTTTAACCTATATAACCTGAAAAATCAGATGTCGCTCAATATCTGGTATGGATTCTTAAAATAAACAAAATTGATAAACTTACTTAAGGTTAGTTTTACCTTGAACATATTTACCTGATTACTAATTTCCGGTATTGTTATCTATGAATACTCACTTGAGCGTTAAAACTGCAACCTCAAAATCACTAAGGTCATGCGTTCAATTAGTCAGCGAACTGACAAAGCAAACCATTCAGAAAATTCAATACGTTAATATTATAAACAAATAAACAGGTACAAACTTCAAAAAGTTATTAGGTTTCCTCTTATTTACAGTTTCCCATTGCGAATATTGGCAAAGTGAGAAAAATGGAAATTAAATCCCCAGAAAATCAGAGAAAAGAACATCCAGAACTGGGTTGTATAAGGGTGTAATTATATGCACATATATACATATGGATTTAAGGTAAACATAAGTGTAGATCTTTAGGTGGGAGCAGCAGCGTTCCCACTAGAATTATTTATCTTTGGACTGCAAGCGGCACTCGAGGCTTCGGGTCACGGGGTCATAGGGTCGGCTTAACTCCGTGCTAATTACGATTGTACCCCAGACCCAAAATATTACGCGCCTGTAAGTAATTAGGGAATTAATGAGTGACAAATGTGAAAATTCATATCCATTAACCTACCGTTATGAACGCCGAGTTGAAGGAACGTTGAAACGTGTGCGTCATGCCCTCCGTCTGTGATAGCATCATTTGGAGCTGCACGGCCTCGTCCATGCGGTTCTTGAGGAACTCCCAAGTCTGAGCATGCCCTGGGGAGGTGTCTTGCAGGAAGTACAGCTCAGTCATCTTCATGATGGTCGCCAGACCCACACGTCTCGTGTACCAGCCGAACTACAGCACGCATATAATTCAGAATTAAATTATTAGAGATTAAGAAACACTCACATCCACAGATCTATCGCCGGAGTAGTAGCAAATGTCATCCACCAGGGTGAGCACCTGGGCCAGAGCTGTGGGAGCATGTTGAGGTTGGGCTATCAAAGCCATTGCCTGAGGCCAATGCGTCTTATACGGAGTGACCATTTCCAAGCGCTGGCGCACCGCTTGCACCAGGAAGTCCAGGGGATCCTCCACCTCCTGCCTGCCACCATCTGTCTTTTGCTGCAGGCTCTCCACCAGCTGAGCGTTGCATTTGCCGTTAAAGTGGGAGACCAGGGCAAAGCCACCCTCGGGGAACATGCCGTGAACCACGCTGGGATAGCCACTCTCCTCGGCGCCAAGGACTATAGCCTGTCGGGTCCAACCCTGCTGCGGCACATGTTGCAGAGCAGCGTCCAGAATCTTCGTTCTTATAGCATCTACCTTGGCCTGCTTGGCGTCGTCATGTTGGCCACTTGATTCTGATCCTGTTGATCCTAGCCCACCACTTCCGCCAGCCTGCTTCTGTGTGGCTTTTGCAGCAGCCTCATCGGCTGCATCGCGCTCTCTTTCACGCTGCTCCTCGCGGGCCCTAAAGTCGTCTAGGTTAGTTGTCTTTTCATCCTTGGCATAGCTTCGTGCCAGTAAGAAAGTCAAGGGTCTTGGCTGCAATGGAGTCAAGCGGGAGCTTTGCGCATCTGCAAAAAGGAATCCTTTGTAATGTCATGTATACACGATTTTTATTACCTAGCCAAATATATATTTATACAAAGGTGTCAAATTACTTCAGAACCTCATTAATTTTTCTCTAACAAATGCAATAAAAACTTTCCAAAGAACATGACAGTAAACATTCTATGTTGATTTCGCAAACATCCTAATACATTTCTAAGACAGCACACTATTGCGAAACAACCTTTACTGAGACATTCAGTTACCCAGTTAAGGTGTTAGGTATATCTATATGCAGCGGATTCAAATGCGCAAGTCGCAATGCAAAACAGCATCGTTGCCCAGTTAGTTAGCACACAACTGGCTCAATTAGCCGGTTAATTAGCGCCCCAGCCAAGAACCCCAACCACATAGATCAGTTTAAGTTTCGATTTCGTTTTCGGTTCTGTTTACACAAAAAGTTTACGTTATCATTTCGCTTTCATTGTGGACAAAATATAAGCTAAGCATTCGATGGATTGGCGTTCCGACGTAAGCGGCTGGACTGTTCGATGATCTCGCTGGCACGCAGATATAACGATTGCAGGGTTTCCAGACTGGTGATGGAGCTGGCCAGCACATCGAGCTTCTCCTGGCGTCCAATATCCGGCAGTTTGCTGTCTCCATCTCCGCCAGCCATTCCACTGTTGGATATGTTTACGGCTAGCATGTTGAGTTGCCGCTGCATAAGTTCATCGTCCGAAGCACTTTGGCCCCTCTCCACGCGCTCCTTGTAAGCTTTGTAGTGGGCCATCGAAAAGTTCAACGCTTTTCCCAGGGGATCGAGCAGTCTTTTTGTAATATCCGGCAAAGCTTGCCAAAATCCAGTGACATCAGCTTTGTCCCTCACTGCAAAGTAGCGTAGGATATTCAAGGCATGACACAGACGATCGGAGTGCAGGAGCAGATCAGATTTGACGTCGTGAGGCAGCACACAGACGCACAGCAGTATCATCTCTCGGAACATCTTTCCACTATAAACTTCCGACAAGGGTACAGGTTCTTGTAGTGCCGTATCCACCAGATCCTTGTACATTCCTCCCAGGTAGCCCATCAGACCATCGTGCTGGAGTGTTTCAAGTAGATTCTTCAGAATCAGAAACTTTCCTTGGTCATCAAAGGCTAGAACATATTGTCGCAGCACATGAAGTCCTAGCTGGCGGAGGGCTACTTGTGGGGAGTAGCCTACAATTTTACAGAGCGCTTCACAGAAGCGCTTATGGACGTCCAGCTGGAGCGAACTGCTGGGCACTGGGTCCACCAAGGTGCTCAAAAGGTGCTCCACTAATCGGAGACCGCAATACTGCAGTGGTGGCTCCTGCTGCCTGAGCAGGACTTCCGCCAGATAGGCAATCGTTTCAAACAAGAACAGAGGTGAGTATATCCTGGGCGCGTTGGTTGGCAGTTGGTTGCCTACAAAGAGCGAGTGATAGTACATGGCCACCGCATGCAGCGGCAGCTTCTCTTCGATGAGGAAAACATTTCGGCAGCTCATCTCGTAGACCCCCTTAGACGCATCTAGTTTGCGCATCCATCGGGCACGCTGTTCTACGAGATTGAGCAAGTAGAACGGATCTCCCAGACACTGACTCGCATCCTGGCTCAGACTCTCCGTTACCTGCTGCACATAGGTGCGCGTGAGGTCTTCCTTTACGTGGCTCATCTCAAGAAGCGCCAAAGGGCGACCCAGAAGTTGGATAAAAAAGCAAGTGAAGATGTTGCGTCGATTCAGACCGCAATCCTTAAAGGTGTCACTAGGACTACGCACGTCCTGTTGCAGGATTTCGCTGCAGAGCGGTTGGCGAAAAAGTCCAACGGTTATGTAGTGGGCCAGAAGGTTCTCCACCTGCTCATTCTGCTCTATGAGTCGCGCTTGGGCCTCGTCGTAGCCCTCGGAGAGGTACTTGGGCAGAGGCAGATCCTTTAGCCGGGTAAACACGCTCTGGAGGCTCCACTCTACGGCTTGCGGCTTGTCCCGTCCCTGTCGCTGGAGCACTACTTGAAGCGCTCTTAGGTAAGCGCCGAACACATTAAGGCTGCTGCTCTCCTCCAAGCGCTCCATAAGCTCCAACATAAGTTCCTGCAGTGGTGCAAACTTTGCCAGCAGTTTAAGCAGCTCATCGGAGCAGTCGAAAAGCTCTGGCTCCTGGTCATGAATCTCGTCGGAGATGTTCCCTGAGCACACATCGTGGTAAAGATCCATGGCTATGTGAGGCAGCAGCCGGGTGTTCCTCTCAGCTTCATGGGCACTTTGGAACAACATCCGCACGCCGTCGTAAGCTTTTTCGAGCAGCAGTTGCTTGATGAGCTGCAGGAAATTCGACGCCGCATCCGCCATATCCACATCCATCTCCTGCTCTTGCATTTTATTTAATCCTTTTCTCAGTAAAATATCACTGTTTATTTATAATTTTGTTGGAAATTGTCGAGAAATCTAAGGCCGCCGGCATTTGGCAGTCAGCATTTTACACTTCTCACTCACTCTCTCACACTCGTCGCTCTCTTTCGCACGCACGCACTACTCGATCGAACAGCTGTTTTCATGGGTTGCGGGCTCTCTTTCGTAATGAGCGCACGCGGTGAATTCGCGGCTAACAGGTGCAAAAGGAGATTTACACTACTTACTGAACGGCAGCAGGAGCTTTTGCAGGCGGATTAACTTGTGTAAACAGCGCACGTTTGCCATTTTAGCGGCTTGAAATCGTTCGGTCAATTGAAATCGGTTTGTTTGGCATTCACCAGGAAGCCGACTCGCATAGTGCTGGTAAACGTTGAACGCTGTTGGCACTTTGGTATTTTTTGACTATCAGTATTTACAATTACAATATACATATCTTATTGGAAACAAACAAACAAAAATAGTAACAAAGTTATTTAAAAGTAGGTCAAGGGACTAAACAGAAAAAAGAAAAAAAAAAATTAGTCACTAATTTCTATAGTAAAGTGCCAACAAAAATCCATCCATTTATATTAAAAAAAAAATTCTAAAATTTAATTAATAATTTAGGATGGATTGATGAAAAAGGAAAGAATTTAAAATTACAGATGGCCAAAAATATTAAATATATAAATCTAACTATAAAAAAGATAAAGTGCCAACATATCTCGCTGTTAATTGTGATGCGAAAAATTCCCACTGTTAACGCCACAAAAAACCTGGAATGGCCCCACTGCAAGATTCTGGCCACACTGAGTCAAAACTGAAACCGAAACTGGCTGGTTTGCGGATCGAGTGTTTATTAATTTTTAAGCAATATTCGCAGACTAGCTTTGCTTTGCCTGAATAAGTTAGTCATAAATTAAAGACGCGCCGGTCCAAACAGCACTTCTCTCAGAATTTGATATTTTTTCAATCGAAAACGAAAAAGGCCGAGTACTGAAGGAGAAGTGAAACGAAAAGCGAATATACACAAATAAGCTTGTGAATTCAGTGGAAAAGTGATACATTCGCAAGGAAAACGGCACAATTTAAGCCAAAGTGCCGGAGGAAAAGCCAACTGCTGTCTGTGCTGCGGCGTCTCAGTGAATTTTCCGTTTTCCGACCCACGACGAGGGTGGAAAACGCGTGAAAACCGAAACGAAAATCCTGCGTGTGTGTGCAAATAATGTGAATAAAAATTGCCTGGAAAAATAAAAAGAGTTCGCTAAAAAATACAAAAACAAGAAATTTAAACGAGAAAATGGGAAAGAAGGCGGAATGTCCGATGGGCGATTTTTAGTGCGGGAGCAGCTCAAAAATCCAGTTTCGGGCTGCAAGGCGTGTCAGGATTGAAATCGAACCACCACCAACATAACCAGCAGCAGAAGAAGCAGCGGCAGTACCAAAAACAACAACATCAGCAGCAACGAAAACAGCCGCTTTAAGCCAATTCCGTTTTGGCCCTTTTCCTGGTTATTCCTGTTTGACTTCATTTTCACCCAGCTTTCGCCGCAGAATTTCGCATTTCGGAAGACAAAATGTCGACGCGCTCGCAATTAACCAAGGACCTCAACGGTGAGTAATGCTCGCTCGCTCGCTCTCTCTCCCTCCCCCTTCTCCCACTCTCTTTTTCTCTCGTCTCCTTTCCCCACCTCATCCCGCCCCCAACTCTTACCGTTCTTTGTTTTGGAAAACGCATGAACAAAAACAAATGCAGATGCATCCCCTCCAAAACGTTGGCGTTTTGTTTTCGCTCTTTACTTTTCTGTTTGGGCCGCCGGCTTCCGTTTTTCTTTAATGCGACACCCCAAACACACAGAAACACCCCACACACACTGTCACCCACCAACCCACAGGGAAACTCCCATCCCTTACAGTTTTGAAATCACTGCATTTTTAACCCAGGCTTTGCCATCAAAGTCATTCAAACTTCTTAGGATCAAAACTTACTTAGATGAATTGCTTAGAACTTAAAAACCATAATTTAAAGCAAATAAATACTCAAAATGTATCATAAAAGAGAAATATATAACATATGAATAATAATAAATAATAGATTATTTTATGAAGACTTTTAAATTACAAGAATTGTCGCATCTGAAATTAAAGATTTAAATGAAAATGATCATTGCTTATAAAGAAAAACTGTAAATTACTTAAGTTTACATAAAGAGAAGACGGTGTCATAGTAAGATTTTTACAAGAATTTATATCTTTAATAAAATGAACTAAAGTAATAACATTTTCGCAAAGTAAATGCAGACTCAAGTAATGAATGTTCATCTGAAGATTTCGTGATATTTAATTGAGCTGAAAGAAAACACAAAGTCAGAAAGTGTAAATCCCATCAGACCGCGGGCGATAAGCTAATATAAAAATAGGAAACAGTGCATAAGTAGAGTCAGTAAACAACAGTAAGTCAGCGAGGGTTTCCATATAAGTGACATTCAAAGCCCGATATTGATATCAGTGAATGAGGCGGCACTGTAAATAAACAAACTCATTGTTCAATCGCAGCTAGCGAGCATTATTCCTCAACAAACAAGCCACATGGTTACCAATTAATGTTCTGGTTTCTACGGAAATCGGTTACTGCTTGGCCGGTTGGCCCGTAGGCATCTTCGCAGGGCGTGAAAACCAATTTGACAAAAGCCGAATCACTCAACGGCGGCATGCAGACCGCGTAATGCCCCATGACAGGTGTCTGGCCCAATCGCAGTCATCTGCGCAGCACATCCACATTGGCTCCAAAACGAGGGGAAATCCGGAAAGAGTTACTGCTCCACTTGCTTTGTTTTCGGCTTAATGTAGGTTTTTCATCTTTTTCACTAAATTCCCCGAACAATCACTGATAACAGTAAGCTTTTATATTTGAAAATGGCTGGATTTCATTTGAAATGAACATAAATACAGTTCATTGGCTGATAACATATCTTTGTTTCACATATATTCCGTTTTAATAACAAAGCCTGGTAATGATTTTAACCCACTTCAAAATGTTCGCTTCAAGTGATCAAAAGGAATTTTGCTCTAAGAGAGCACGTGTAAAACAAAAGTTGGTTCAAATATCAAACAAAATGTTTGGTTCAAAAAAACTTAAATCTCTAGAAGGTACTCACAAATTTATTTTTAATATGCAGTTAAGGATCAAGTTTAAAGTAACAGTGCCTAATAGTGATTCGTTAAACATAAACTCTAATCCGCTCTAGAACGTAGATTTAGTCAGAATGCTCAAATAATTTTATTTGTTATACTTTTTTGACAACTGGCACTGATTTTGATGACTTAATAATTTTTACGTGTACATAATCCTTTGCTGGGCCAATCCACTGTGCCTGTCCCTAGGAATTTAACCCCAACTCGTCGCCGAGCTGAGTAATTTAATTTGAGTGCAGTGACAGGAACAGCAGCTCCTCCGTCAGTTCAGTTCCTGCTCCTAGCTCCAAGCTTCAGATGTCCCATTCCTGACTCCTTTACCCAGGTGTGGGCGTTGACACCTTCGTTGTTTGTTTGCTCACAACCTGGTTTGTTTGTGTTACCTGTTTGTATGCTCTACCTGTCATAGCCATCCATCTCCGGCTGGTTGTTCTGTCCTATTTCCACTCCAGAACGGAGTTTGCTTCCCGTCTGCCAATTAACGTACTCTGATTAAGTGGGCGGGGACTTGCACAATCACCTCAATGCCCATCATTTATAAAATATTTCAATTTCCATGGCAGCTGCAACTGCAGGGGAATCCGTCGGAATCTGGAGCACTCGCTCCAAATTGAGCATTGACAATTTTATTTATGATCTCTTCGCTGGTTGCCGCTGCTCCGGTTCCAGTTGGCTGTCCAAAATAAACTCGATTTGCCTCAAAGGCGATGGCGGTGGCGGTGGCTGCACCCGAAACTGAATTGGGCATTATATAATGGGCGCGATCGGCTGTCTGATTTATGCAATTTGGTCGGGGTTCTGTTGTTATTATCTTCCCTGTTGCTGTCTTCGCTTGGCTCGGCTTCTCTTCTTGTTTATTTAATTTAATTTTTAGTGTTTGGACACCTGTCGCCCTCAATGGTCCTCATAAATCATCTACCAAGTCGGTGGCCCTCGGCATTACAGGGGACAGCGTACCGAAATCGTCTTTAAGATAGGAAAGTGTATAGGAACTTTAAGGCGGGGTGCACAAAAAACGCATAGTAATAAAGATTGCACTGCAATCGAATGGGATGGCGAACGATTTAATCAACAATTGAGCTTCGACCAACAGTTTTTATTGGTTAATCGACAATAAGTATTTTTTATTTTAAATTGTTACTGCGAAATGAAGGGAAATATTTATGTCAATAAGTTTGGTTTGAATAATTTGTATGCAATAATCGTTCTTGTTTTTATTACTTCATTATGTATTATTTTCTCAACTAATTGGCTTTTGCTTTTCCTGACAAATGTATTTCTATGAGTGATTGCTTCATTTGTCGAGCCATAATTGAATTTTAATTATACCATATTAATAATGTTAAGATTCAATTTAGTGATTCAAATAGGTTGGATCTTTAAGATCATGATGTATTCAACATACTTTTTCTGAGTATAGATCATCAACTGATCACCCTGTAAAGCTATCAGCGAATTCTTAAGTTCTCCCACTTTTTGCTCAAATTCTTTTGCTCTCTCACCACTGATAAGTCTACAATAGGCCGATAAGACGATTGTTATTATCAGCGTTCAGTTCTGAAATCGCCGCGTTCGGTGCCTGGCCTGCCTTCTCAAAGCGGCAGCGTACTACCAAGGCTATTTGGCATTGGCCTGACATGCAAATCCGTTAAGAGCGCGCGCCGCCTGCCTTCCGTTTTATAGGCACATATATATCATCACATCGTTGCCCGATAATTGTAATTACGGGTGTCGGCATTATTGGGAACCGTTAGTGAGCGTATAGGTGAAATGTACACGACGGAGATGATGAGTCACATTGACCAGTACCTGCGCCGCATCATCGAGCTGCAGATACGGGACGTGGTCAAGCAGAATCGCGATAAAGGTGAGCAATAGAAGATCACCTCGGACCGGCGGTACTCTGGGATGGGTGGTGCTGTAACTTCATTTGTTTACTTACCATATGACTCATGCGGCGGTTCCATATCGCCGCTCCACTCCCCAACTTCTGACTCGCAATCAGAGCTAACAGTTTAGCTATATCTGGCTTTATTTTTAAAATCTAATTTGCCATAAAATATCTTATAAGACTTTCTACTTATTATTTCCATGAAATACATTAATTGTGTAGTGAAGTTTTTTATATTTTGAAGTAACCTAATAGAATGTAAAAATTGTGTTGCGGAAGGTTTTTGATTATCTATTCTTTAACATTCATTATGATTTACCATACTCTTTTATAAACAATCGATCACTTTCATGCTTATAAATAAGGTTCGCTTATCATATAATATCTTGCCTCTGAAGTTTATCCAAATGCAAATGTTTAATCTTATTCAACGTCTTTATATATAGGCATATCTCTTTGTTGAGCAAGCTGATTTTTATTGCCCTAACCGCTTCATTAATGACAGATCTGTTCGCCTTTCAAAAAGCCGACAGCACTGCTATCGATCGCCGGCTATCGATCTCTGGTTTTGGCTTTCAGTCAGGTGTGATTGCTCAGACCATTTTGCACTTCATAAAGTTTGTTGTACTCCCCCGTGGGCCTACGCCTCAGACCGCACCTTGCTCAACGGAAATTGACTTGTTGAAAGTTTATTGATGGTTTCTCGTCGCTGTTGTTATTCTCCCTGTTGCGGCCGACTCTCTTTGTTTGTTTACTTGTTTGTTTGGCCTGCCTTCAAAGGCCTATCTCGAGCGGATCGACTGCACTTGCTCATCCAGAAGACAATTCCCCATAGGCGAACATTGTAAAGCCCTCGAGGCCCCACTCGTTGTTTTGCAATCCAATATACATAAGTACGCACTATATATGCAATAAGGCAAATAAACAAATGAAATTAGTGTGTGCGTAGTGAGACTTCCTCGTGATCTACTGTAGCCATAAATGGAAATAATGGAGGAGTGGGTTACCCATTAAACTTTGGCTAGATATTTTATGCGGTATTCATGACCATTTTTGTTATTTTGTGATTAAAATAAATAGCATTTTTTATTTCTCAGATTGATAGGCAGAAAGTAATATAATTTATCAAATGTATAAAGGAAATTCCGAAATGGAAATACCCTTAATGTATAATCTTTATATTATTTCCATACAAACAAATCTTATGATGAAAGTGAGCTGCCATAAATTCCAAGTTCCAAGTAAACTGTTTTATGAAAAGAAGAAACAATATCAAGGAATGTGATTCTTCAAATGTAATCAACAATAAAGTGGCCTTAGGTTAAGCAAATATGTATTCTTATAGTTAATGCCATATCCTATACACACTTATGTAACCCCAAAGCTATTCTTCCATTAACCTGAATATAAAGTAGGGTTCACAATAGGCTGTCTTGCCCTGTGGCTGCGAAATTGAAAATGCGGATTCAAATCGTTTGACCTTCCTAAAGTGGACGCAATAAAATTGATTACCACGTTGAGATGTGTG